TTTTTATTTTTTGACAGGCAGAGTGGACAGTGAGAGAGAAAGACAGAGAGAAAGGTCTTCCTTTGCCGTTGGTTCACCCTCCAATGGCCGCCGCGGCCAGTGCGCTGTGGCAGGCGCACTGCGCTGATCCGATGGCAGGAGCCAGGAGCCAGGTGCTTTTCCTGGTCTCCCATGGGGTACAGGGCCCAAGCACCTGGGCCATCCTCCACTGCACTCCCTGGCCACAGCAGAGAGCTGGCCTGGAAGAGGGGCAACCGGGACAGAATCTGGCACCCCGACCGGGACTAGAACCCGGTGTGCCGGCGCCGCAAGGCGGAGGATTAGCCTAGTGAGCTGCAGCGCCGTCCTAGACAACACAAATTTCATCCTGGCCTTGCCCACCACTGCTGAAGCTTCACCGTGTCTGAAATGACACCCCCGTCCTCCAGCCCTGGCCCACACTTTTGGTCTCATCCCTTACTGTGGCCCTTTCAGGAGGCCCTGCTCCTGCCATCTCCTTGTCTTTGCTGCCACTGCTCCCTGCTGCCCTTGCACCTCTGCACGCCCAAGTCCTACCTGCAAGGCTGAGAACCAGTGGGCTCTCAGCAAATGCAGCTGCAGATGGGTTTACATGGGCGTTCTGTAGTCGTCTTCCCTGAATTAGTTACCAAGAGGAGACTCCATATAAATATCCGCATTTCAGCTGCTACCGCCAAAAGCCACGCCCCACCCCCCAATTCTTCCCTGAATCCAGCTTCCTTCTAATCAAGCAATAGGGTTCCTGCCACCCACATGGGAGACCTGGATGGAGTTCCTGGCTCCTGCATTCAGATTGGCCCACCTCTGGCCATTGTGGGCATTTGGAGAAGGAACCCTGGCTTGTTCTACTGTCTGCTCGGAGAAAGTGGGTCCTCTCCAGTGGAAGAACCATTTTACTCATTCACCATTGTAGAGACAGGTCTAAGAGCAGCTTTTGGAGTGCTCAGAGCCCTAAGCCACAGGCAACAGAGATGGGCTCTGGCTATTTCAGCAGGAAACAGGTGTATTCTAGCCAGAATCCAGTTTATCATAAAGGTAACTGGGCTCAGGCTCCATGGCTACCCCACTGCATGGGCCCCGGGTGGGAGGGGAAGCCAGGTTGCCATCAGCAAGCGTTTCTACATGAGCATTTCTGGAACACGTTCTAAAGAGATCCAGGATAAAGGGACGAGAACAGCCCGAGGTCCAGCATTTGGTATGATTTCTTTACCCATTTTAAATAAATGTTGGCTTTCATACTGAATTGTCCACATAATGAATTAGATGACTCATGCTAGAATTACAGGCAAGGGTTTTAAAGTAGCTATTGTGACTGTGCTCATTGTCACAAAGGAAAACACAGTCGTTCCATGATATCTGAGGCCCTTCATAGCAAGGTCAGAGGGTGCTCACACTCCTGGTATAAGCAGGGGCTGGCACTGTGGTGTAGTAGGTTAAGCATCTTCCTGTGGCACTGGCATCCCTTATGGGCACCAGTTCGAGTCCTGGCTACTCCTCTTCTGATCCAGCTCTGTGCTATGGCCTGGGAAAGCAGCAGAAGATAGTTCAAGTGCTTGGGCCTCTACACCCATGTAGAAGAAGCTCCTGGCTCCTGGCTTCAGATTGGCTCAGCTCAGCTCTGGCTGTTGAGACCATCTGGGGAGTGAACCAGCGGATGGAAGACCTCTCTCTCTCTATAACTCTGTTTCTCAAGTAAATAAATATTTAAAAAATAAAATAAATAAAATTTAAAAAATAGTATTTGTACATAACCTATAAGCATCTCCCCATCATTCATCTCTAGGGCACTTGTAACACCCAATACAGTGTAAATACTACATAAATGGTTGCTGTTTTGCTTAGGGAATAACGGCCTCCAAAATTCTGAACATTATCAGTACAGATGCAAGTGTTTCTCTGAGTACTCTTTTTTAAAGATTTACTTTATTTATTTGAAAGGCAGAGTTAGAGAGAGAGAGAGAGAGAGAGAGAAGAGACCTACAGAGAGATCTTCCATCCTCTGGGTTACTCCCCAAATGGCCACAACTGCCAGGGCTGGGTCAAGCCAGAGCCAGGAGCTTCATCCGGGGCTCCCAAATGGGTGCAGGGGCCCAGGGACTTGGGCATCCTCTGCTGCTTTCCCAGGCACATTAGCAGAGCTGAATTGGAAGTGGAGCAGCCAGGACTTGAACTGGCACCCACAAGGGATGCTGGCACTGCAGGAGGTGGCTTGACTTGTATGCCAGAGCGCCAGCCCCTCTCTGAGTATTTTAATCCACAGTTGATGGAATCTGTGGATGCTGAACCCACGGGTATGGAGGGCTGACTGTATGCCCATGCTGCTCGAGCACAAAGGAAATCTCAGTAAAGAAGTGGAAACTATGGAAAGAAAAAAAGAACTAGATGGGAATTTGAAAACTAAAAATTCCAGTATTTGAAAGAAGGCTGGAAAAGCAAGTCTCTTGAATTCTACCTTGGAGGAGTAAGTCCATGAGGCTTAACCCATTATGCCACAATGCCAGCCCCTTTAAACTTTTCTGTAAAGACCTTTTTCTAACAGTTTGATTTATCTATTTTTACTTTATTTGAAAGGTGGAGGGGGGCGGGGAGAGAGAGAGAGAGAGAGCGAGCGAGCACACTAGGCCAAGATGAAGCCAGGAGCCTGAAACTCAATCCAGGTCTCTCATGTGGTGGCAGAGACCCAGGAACTTAAGCCACGACTGCTGTCTCCCAGGAAACAGGAAGGCAGGATCGGAAGTGCAGCCAGGACTTGAACCCGGGCATCTGATACGGGATGTGGGCATCCCAAGAGGTGAGTTTAACCACTGTGCCAAACACCTGCCCCAGCGACTGAGTTTTAGTTCCAGCTTTCGGTAGATTCTCTCCTGGCACCTGGCTGCTTTGTTCTTGACCAAGCCCCCTTTTTTATTTATTTTTTTCAGTTGTGGTAAAATAGATGAAAGATGTACCATCTTAACCACTGTGAAGTGTGTGAATCAGTGGTGTTAGGTACATTCATAATATTGTGCAGCCATCACCCCGGCCATCTCTAGAACTTTCTCATCAGGGACAGGCTTGAGCCTGGCAGTTAGGATGCTGGGGAAATGCCTGCTTCCCATACGGGCTCTGGGCTCAGTTCCCAGCTCTGGCTCCTGACTCCAGCTCCCTGCTCTGCAGACCCTGGGAAGCAGCAGTGGTGGCTCAAGCAGGCGGGTCCCTACATTGAGGGACACCTGGGGAGTGAACCAGTGGATGGGAGCGCTCTTTCTCTCTCTCTCTCTTCTCTTCCACCTCTCAAGTTAAAAAGAATATATTAAAAACGTGTTCATCATTCTAAACTACTCTACACCTATTTGACCCCAAGTCCCCACTCGGCCCCTGACAACCACTGTTTTTATCTCTGAAGCTGACTACACCGTGGACCCCACTGAAGTGGCTCACACAGTATTTGCCCTTTTGCTTCTTCCACTTAGCAAGATGTCCTCAAGCTTCACCCGTGCTGTGGCACCTGTCGGAATTTTCTCATGTTTAAGGTGAACGAGGTCCCACCGTACGTGAACATGACATTCATCTAGACAGCTGGGCTCCTCCCACCTCTCACCTCCTGGGAATAACGCCGCTCTGTATGTAAATGTCCGCGCAAGCCCCTGTCCTTCTGTGCCCCCGGCCTCTGCTGTTTCCCCCATCAGTCCAGATCCTGACCTTGGCATGGACTTGTCTAGGACAGGTTCTATTCCCCTGGGCAGGCAAACAGAATGCAGGCTGGCCTCTCAGGTCATGCCCACGGCAAACACCTGGAGTGAGGGGAACCAGACCCGAACTGACCAGGAGTGCCACGTCCCATGGAAGGGAAAGGAGGGACAACAACGTGGCAAGCAGCAAAGGAGAGTGGGCTGTCCCCTGGGCGCCTGCGGGGGAGACACATACCACTGCACAGAGGAGAGGGGCAGCACAAGGGAGGCCTCTGTTCCCCAAAAGGGCAGGCACGCCGCAGAGAAGGCCCCGGGGGCTCCAGAGGGCGGCCCAGGCTGCAGGGGCAGAGGTTATGCAAAGGGAGAGGATGCTGGGACTGGCGCTATATTCAGCAGCTCGGCGTGAGGGGCCCACAGGGGGACTGGCTGGGGGAGTCTGGAATCCTCCAGTTTGACAGATAGCCCCCAGCTCAGCCAGCTCTTGAAGCTCACAGGGCTGGGGTGCACAGTGCACCCTGCAACTATGCCCGTAGCCTTCAGAGTCCTGTGGTCTTGTGCCCTGGAGGGAGGGAGGGAAGGAGGGAGAGAGGGAGAGAGAGGTAGACTACAGCTTCGGTACAGGCGGGGCCTGGGCACCCAGGAATCCCTTTCACCCTGGACCGCCAGCAACTTTCAGATGGTTACTTGATATTTTTTGGTGCCAAAGTGTCTAAGTTTAGGTGCCAAGTGATGACAGCCTGGGAAGGGTGCAGTCGCTAAGAGGAAAATTAATGGCTCCCTGGAACTCTGACATCTTAAGGAGTAAAGATGAATTAAACACGTTCCCCCCAGACGACAGGGCCAAGGGACAGACTGGAGGCTCCCATTTCAGCCTGGACCACTGCTGCTCGAGTAGCCGAGGGAGGCTGCCAGTGGTGGGGAGGGCGGTGAGCTTCAGGTGCTTCCCGTCGGTGCCGCCAACCCTGGCAGCTGGTCTGATTCTGTGGATGTGTTCCTGGAACCCTCCCAGGCATGCTCTGTCCCCCTCGAACCAGAGACTACCCCAGTGTGAACCCAAATTTTTAGACTGCTCTGGAATCCCAGGAGACTGTGAGGTCAGCCTGGACTTGGCCTCGGAGACCAGGATCTGAGGCCGGACCAAGGTGCCAATGAGCCTGCCAGCTCAGTTTTTTACTAATGCTGGAGCCAGGGCCGAAGATGGCTCTGATGTCGCCACCAGCCCCTCCCTCTGTGCTGGGCTCTGGGGCACTGACAGCCGTGTGCTGTACGGGGCCAAGGGCGCCAGTCTTCCACCCTGCACCAGGTACTGACCAGACTGACGGAAAAGCCCATCCACACTCAGGTCCCAGAGGAGATCAAAGGCTCTCGAAGACGTTTCTGGAGGCCATGTCAGAAGCTAGGAGAAAAACAAAAACAAAAACAAAAACAAAACAGGTGAGCAGGGTCATTTCTAAGGCACAAAGGCAATGCCTTTCCACTACCCCGCATTAAATAAATCCCATTTCATCCTCACTAGGCCACGTGGGAGGAGGATGTGGTCACTGCTGTCATCGTCCAGATGAGGAAACCATGCTTGGGGGTCGAGCAACTCCCCTCGGGTCACGCAGCCCGTTAGTTGCTAACCCAGGAGTGAAAGCCAGGTCCGTGGGACTTGAAACTCCCTTCTCTGTCCACCTCCCTCTGGGAGGGTCTGGGGCCTTCTGGCTTTTCACTCCTTGCGGTCACCTCCATGTCCCTGCAGGGCGGGGGCCAGCGTAGAGGAGAGAAGGAGCTTGCAAGCACTGACCAACCGCAGTCAGCTGGGCAGGACCAGGTTGGCCCCGCTCTGGGATCCTCGAATTGTTTCCGGGTCAGTGCTTTACTTTCACAGTCATCTGAGACCACTGGCGTGGAAAATCCTGGTCCTGAGTGCAGATCCACAACCTCAAACAACTCCAGACAACAGGGATCCTTATTTGAATGCTCCTGGAGTCAGTGTGTCCTGCGCCGGGGATGTGGGCACAAACAAGTACCCAGCACCCACCCACAGTGCCACCTTGACTGGGGACACACAGTCGGGGCCAGGCCTCGGGGCGGGGTTCCTGAGAGCTCACAGCTGTGGTGGGTGCTGTAGGGAACTCCCCCTTTCAGACACAGTGGCTCTGGAGTGCCCGAGGGCTGAATGCCACTCCTGGACCTGGCCCGAGAGCATGACCTCTCCAAGTGCAGCCTGTGTCTGGTGACAGGCTGATGCTGGGGTCTGAGGGCCTGGAGCCCTCACTTCAACTCAGGCTACCCGAAAGGGTCACCGGATTGCAGAGCCCCTCAGGACTGTCGGGGACCCCTCCTGCTGCACAGCCCCTCCCTCTGCCGGATCTACTGCCCTCCCCGTCACAGCTGGGGCACTCGCAGGGAAGCCACTGCCTCGGGGTCCATTCCTCTGTGACTTCTTGTAACTTCTACAGCCGAACACTCGACTCTCTAGAAACTCACTGAGGATATACGCTACCTGCTCGTGCCCATCCTCCCTGGTGAGGCTCACCTGGAAGGTCCACACGAGGTGGACAAGCCCACGGAAGTCAAGAGCACTGTGGCTGAAGCCTGTTCCCCGAGAGAACATCGGCTGAAGCCTCTGGGGGGCGGGGGCAGCAGGACCAAGACCCCAGGGGAACTCAGCATGGCCTCTCCAAGAACGCAGTGGACTGAGCAGAGCTGGAGAGCTCTGACTCACCACCCCCAGCTCCCAGGATGGACCCCAGGTGTCCGTGTAGGCTCCTGCAGCCCCGCTCACCCAGCTGCCTTGACTGGACCAGGGGACCATTTAATCCTCTCAGGAAAACTATATTGTCCTTCCTGGGGACTCAGATTTGTGGACACAGCCTGGTCTTGCTTGGCCAGGGAGCCCCCCGGGGAGGAGAGAGAAGCGGAGGCTGGTCCAGCTTCCTGATGCTTCCCCATCCTGGTTCCAGCTCCACCCGAGAGCCACCCACATCCCTGTCCTGGGATCCCCAGGACCGTTCTTGCTCTCCTCCCCAGGAGGCTGCAGGGGGGCCCTTCTTGGATTTCTACCTCTTGCAGCCAGAGTCCTCACTAACTATATAAGCTTCTGAAGTGCGCGGAGCATACTGCCCAGAGGTCTCCCAAAGCCAAGGGCACCCCTCTTGCCAACCTGGCTTCCGCCGTGGTGGGGGATGGAGCGTGAACCGGGGCCTCCACCCGCTGACAATGCCAGGCCCTGGGCCGAGCAGTGGCCAGGGCGGTCTGCGAGGGTTACGCACTTCACTTGCACATGGGGCCATCGGAGCACAGGGCAGATGCTAAGGAACACACCCACAGGTGACCAAGCTTGACCTTGTCTTGGGGGAGGCTCTGGGGTCCCAGGACCTCATGGAGACTGATCCCCCCAAGAGGAAGGGCACTCCACGCCGTGTCAGGGTCACACAAGGCCCCTCTGTGGGCGCCCTCTCAGTTGGGCTCTTTGTGTCTCCCAATGCCTAATTGTGTGCTTCGTCATCTGCTGTGCAAGGAGCAGAGAGAAGCTGTCCTGGCTGGGCTGAGAATAATGGACACACTGTTCCCTGTTCCTCCCCATCCACTCCCACCAGGCCGTGGGGGGAGAGGGACACGAGAGCAAGGGCCACACCAGGGCCCCAGGAGCCTGGGGTCTTTCTCCTCTGCAGCAGACCAGCGCACGAAGGCGGCCCCAGGGCTGGGGGCTGGGGGTGGGGGGAAGCAGAAGGAGCTGGAGGGCTCTGCCTGGAGTGTGGCCAGCCTGCCGAGGGGGAGGACTTCCTTGAACCCGCCCTGCACAGTGGCTCTGATTTACAGCTGGGGTCCAGGCTCCAACTGGCAGCAACAGGACGAGCTGGAACTTGTGACCAGCCCATCCCCAGGGGCCCTGGGAGGGGGCCCAGGCCAGGCAGGCATCCTCATGCCAGGCATTCAGATTGTAGCAGTTGGTTCCTGGGCCCGTCCCTGCTGGGTTTTTACTGTCTCTGTCTCTCCAAAAGTTGCAAGCCCCAGGCAGGGTGGATGTTCCCCCAAGGCAAAATGTTCCAAAGACAACCAGGAGGGAAGAGACCGCAGCTGCAGGTTTCTCTGGCCGACTAACAGCAGACAGGAAGCAAGCCCTCCGACCCACCAGCACCCTCGGCTTTAAATCTGTGGGCACCCCCCTGCCCCAGGGGGCTGCCTATCAGCTAGGGGACCTTGGTGGCCGGGGAAGAGATTTTTGACACAACAGGAGCCCTCGTTGGGGAAGCATGGATCCACACACTGAGGGGTTGGACTTCAAGTCCACTGGGAGCGCCAGGCCCCTCCGGAAAGCTAAGCTAGGCTTCTGGGTGGCACAGGCAACACCCGGAGAGGTGCACACCGAGTGGGAGGCAGAGGCTGAGGCCACACCTGGGTCCCCGTGAGGATTAACTCCCCATCAGCTTTCCTCCCTCCTCTGCCCTCAGCCCCAGACTTGGCAGGACAAGGTTAATGCCCAGCCCAGCTCCTCCCGCCTGCAGGCTGGCCCCAGCTAGGAGGCTGCTGCACTCCCGCCACCTAGCGGCTGGTCTGGTCCTCACCTGGAACAGCCACTGCAGAAGGGGCACCGGGCAGCTGGTCCTGTGCAGGTAGAGGTTGCTCAGGAGGCCGTGGTGCAGGAAGGAGAGCTGCTGGGCCTGCGAGGAGCTGGGGGACAGGCAGCGAGGTTAAGGGAGGTCCATGGGAGATGGTCACGTCGCAGCCGCTCCAAGAGCTAATAGGCTTTTCCAGTCCTCGACACGAGGTGCCCTCATCAAACTTGCCTGCTTGTCACAAGGGCTTTCCAGGAACATTCCTGGTCCCCCCCAACCCTTTTTAAAAGATTTATGCATTTGTTTGAAAGGCAGAGTTACAGAGAGTGAGAGCGACAATGAGATTGATCCTCCATCCGCTGGTTCACTCCTCAAATGGCTGCAATGGCCCAGGGCTGGGCCAGTTGAAGCCAGGAGCCTGGAACTCCATCTGGGTCTCCCACATGGATGACAGGAGCCCAAACACTTGGGTCATTTTCTGTTGCTTTCCTAGGATCATTAGCAGGGAGCTGCATCAGAAGTAGAGCTGCCAGGACTTGAACCAGACCCATATGAGATGGCAGCATTGCAGGTGGCAGCTTAATCCATTGCCAGCCTCCCTCACAGTGGCTTTTTTTTTTTTAGATTTATTTATTTGTTTGAAAGGCAGAGTTATAAAGAGAGAGGGAGGGAGGGAGGGAGAGAGAAAGAGAGAGAGAGAGAGAGAGAGAGAGAGAGAGAGAGAGAGAGAGTCTTCCATCTGCTGGTTCATTCCCCAGATGGTCGCAACGGCCGGAGCTGGACTGATCCGAAGCCAGGAGCCAGGAGCTTCTTCCAGGTCTCCCACATGGGTGCAAGGGCCCAAGGACTTGGGCCATCTTCTACTGCTTTTTCAGGCCATAGCAGAGAGCTGGATCGGAAGTGGAGCAGCCGGGACTCAAACCAGTGCCCATATGGGATGCCAGCACTGCAGGCAACAGCTTTACCCACTGCGCCACAGCGTTGGCCTCTCACAGTGTTTTAAGTATACTTCTGTGTGGCACACTTTGATGGAGAGGGAAACTGAGGCATTTACTAAGGGTGAGTAGAGGGTCGTGGTGCCTTGACTGCAGGCCCTGACCTGAGGGGCAGACGGGATTACCGTGCAGCCGTGCTAGCGTCACAGTATCTGCTTACACACTGAGTTTCTGTCTGTCGTGGCTTTTTCCAACACAGAGGGGACACCTGAGAAGATGGGAAAATAACAGAAAATAATTTCCCAGGACTAGGAAATTCTGGGAAGGGAACAGTCAACAAGGATTCCGTAAAGGACTCTCAGAAACCGAGAGCAGCTGCTGTCCCCGAGTCAGAGGAATGGCGCTCGGGCTGACCATGGGCCTGTGACCTGTGGTGTGTCCACTCTGGCTGGCCTGGGCAGTCAGACCGCCGGCCTGGGAGGAGGCCTGCTTTAGGTGCAGCATTGCCTTTGTAGGACAGCTTGGTCTATCCCAGGTCTCCATAAAATGAGTTGAAGTAGTCGTGTGTGTGGGTTTGAGATTTATTTTATTTATTTAAAAGGTAGAGTAACACAAAGAGAGGGATAAACAGAGAGATCTTCCATACACTGGTTCACTCCCCGAATGGCCACAATGGCTGGGGCTGGGCCAGGCCAAAGCCAGGGGCTTGGAATTCCATTCTGGTCTCCATGTGGGTGACAGGGAGCCAAGTACTTGGGCCATCATCCACTGCCTTTCCAGGCGCACTGCTAAGCAGGGAGCCGGACTGGAAGCAGAGCAGCCGGGACTAGAACCAGTACTCTGATAGGGGATGCCAGCGTCGCACGTAGCAGCTTGACATGCTGCACCACAACGCTGGCTCTGCTCGTGATGGGCACAGGTGCTCTGCAAGTCATTTTAGAGGGGTTGGCTGGGCTTGGTCACCTTCCCAACTCCACCCAGAGAGACTGTCTTTGGGGTGGATTTCTCCACTCTCTGTATGTTTTCTGACTATTAATATTTCTCTTTCTAGATAATGTCCCATTGAGAATTAATATGGAGTCCAGGAAATGAAAAAAGTAATTTCAAGTTTGTTGTTTTTTCTCCTTTTTAAAAATATTTTATCACTCACATTTTTTGATTAACGTAGAATACTGGCACATTTTTATTGGGCAGAGTGCAATATTTCAACACGTATGCATAGCATAAATCCATCATGGCAAGCAATGAGTCTTCCTACTTCTTTATCTTTTGTGTTTGGAGCCTACCAGCTCCTGTTCTCCATTTCAATGGCCAGATCCACACCAAGAACATTTCAGATAGATAGAATTTAACGTCCTGACCCTAGGTAGAGATTTCCTTGGTTAGTCCAACCTCTTCCTTTTTCCCCTCGTCCCTCCATCTCTTCCTCATCCTCCTCCGTTTTCTCCTTTTTTAAAAAAGGACATAGGACTTTAATCTGCCAGGAACAGAACGCTCCACAGTAAAGATCCCCCAAGCCAAGCTGCTGTCTCCTTGAGGATGTCCAGGCAGTTTGCAAAGTGTGTGTGTTTTTTTCCAAGTCATTTAAGTTCAGAGGAGAAAGCATCTTTGTTCCTGGGCTTACGAAGTTTACCGCTGGAAAACAGACCCTGATGTGTACATCCAAACACGCGTGAGCCCCCGGGCTGCTGGCACACGCCACTTTGCCCCACGTGCCTGGTCACACGGATACTTTTGCGGGCTGACCCTGACAGGCAATGCCTTCAAGTACATGCACAATACCCAAGTAAACAAAGTCTGGAGGGCCTTGCAAATTGGCAGGACCCCAGCAGAGGCCATGTGTCGAGGAGGCTGGAGCTCCAGGGGCACTTAGGAGAAGCTGGCGTGGTGCGGTGGGCGAGCGGGCGCTCTGCCAGTTTCCCAGTGGGGTGGTGGTACAAGCCCCCGTTGGCTCAGAGTAACACATTTGCAGCTGCTGCTCTGCGTGAGAGACGTCCTGGGGTTGCAACGTCTTCCTCCTGCTAAGCAGGCCTTGCAGCCGAGTTCCGTTCCTGCCGCAGAATGAGCCGTCTGCCTCTGAGTCCACTGCTGCTGGGCTGGGTCTCATCTGTAAGATCTCGGGAGAGAGAGTGCGCCGGCAAAGACACAGTCCTGCTCTTCCTTGGAGCGAGCGCGAGTGAACAGCTTTCAAGGAGCCGTGTAGAGCTCCATGGGCTGTCTCCGGTGCAGGCTGGGTCACGAGCCGGTGTGGTGCCCGCCCGCCTGGCACCAGGGGAGCGCTGCTTCCTTTCCGCGGAACCGCATGAGCCTCCACCTGGTCACCATGGCATGCAGTAACCTTGGTAACCTCGGTAACCTCAAGTGTGCCGTACGGATCCTCTCTTGGCACACACACTGCCCTGGCTGGGTGCACAGCAGGGGAAAAGGGAAACGATGGGAGGAGCATGCAGGGGAAGCTCAAAAGCTGCGGGTGATTCAATCAGATGTTATCAGATTTACAAAATCCCGTGTCATGCTTGCACGTCAAGAAGGCCGTCCCTGGGCCCAAGCGGGTGCCTTCGTCCGCGCTTAGGCCAATGCTGAGGTCAGAAGTTATGCTGAGAATGCCAGAGGATTTTGGAGTGAGAAGTGGGGGTGGGGTGGGGGATAGCAGGTGCCACACAGGCCTGGCTGAGCGTGAGGCACACAGCTGTCACCCTCGAGGACCCCAGGGAAGGGAGGTTCCCACCCAGGTCCCTTAGCCATGACTGGAGATGAGAGGAGCACGGGGCGCAGCCACAGCCAGAGCCCTGCTAATCCCCAGCCGCGACAGCAATGACAGAGGGCAGATGTCTGCGTCCTCCCCACCCCCAGCCCGCCCCTGGCCGCCCACTGGAGCAGAAGGCGGGGAGGGAGGGAATCGGCCCGGAAGGGAAACACACAAACAAGTCGGCACAGAACTGGGGGAGCTCCAGCCATCTCCCTGGCATTTCTGTCCCTGACAACGTCCAGGGAGGATTCTTGCAGCCTCTCCCTCCTCATCTACTTCGCGGGCAGCAGTCCCGAGGGCACAGTCTCTGCATGCCTTGGGATCCCGAGTGATGGCAAAAGGATAAACACTAAGCGTAGTTATTTACATGGGCTCTGTTGCTGGCCCTCTGCCAAGTTACTCAAATCAAAGTTTCAATAAAATGCCTGCGTAGAACAGAAACAAACAACGGATGAGGCTTCCCCTCCACAGCCCCTGCTTTTTCTTTTCTTTCTTTTTTTTTTTAATAAAGATTTATTTATTTGATATGAAAGGCAGAGTTACAGAGAGGTAGAGGCAGAGACACAGAAGGAGAGAGGTCTTCCATCTGCTGGTTCACTCCCCAGATGGCTGCAATGGCTGGAGCTGCACCAATCCGAAGCCAGGAGCCAGGAGCTTCTTCCAGGTCTCCCATGTGGGTGCAGGGGCCCAAGCACTTGGGCCATCTTCTACTGCTTTCCCAGGCCATAGCAGAGAGCTGGATCAGAAGTGAAGCAGCAGGGTCTCGAACCGGCACCCATATGGGATGCCGGCACTGCAGGCGGTGGCTTTATCTGCTATACCAAAGCACCGGCCGCTTTTTCTTTTTCTAAATTATTTTTAAATTTTTATTTGAAAGACACACAGAGGCCGGTGCCACGGCTCACTAGGCTAATCCTCCGCCTTGCGGCGCCGGCACACTGGGTTCTAGTCCCGGTCGGGGCGCCGGATTCTGTCCCGGTTGCCCCTCTTCCAGGCCAGCTCTCTGCTGTGGCCAGGGAGTGCAGAGGAGGATGGCCCAAGTGCTTGGGCCCTGCACCCCATGGGAGACCAGGATAAGTACCTGGCTCCTGCCATCGGATCAGCGCGGTGCGCCGGCCGGGGCGGCCATTGGAGGGTGAACCCACGGCAAAAAGGAAGACCTTTCTCTCTGTCTCTCTCTCTCACTGTCCACTCTGCCTGTCAAAAAAAAAAAAAAAAAAAAAAAAAAAAAAAAAAAAAAAAAAAAGAAAGACACACAGAGACAGAGACCCTTCATCCGTGGAGAGACAGACCCAGAAAGAGACAGAGTGAGATCTTCTATCTGCTGGTTCACTCTCCAAATGCCTGCAACAGCTAGGACTGGGCCAGGCTGAAGCCAAGAGCCTAGAACTCCATCTGAGGCTCTCACGTGAGTGCCAAGGTTCCAGATCC